CAAAATCGATCTTAACCCATTTCTTCTTATTCTCTGAATGCTCTCTCATCTCAAAATCGATCTTAACCCATTTCTTCTTCTTCCGTGAATGCTCTCTCATCTCTACTTCATCTACAAAACCGATCTTAACCCACCCATTTCTTCTTCTTCTCTTTTCTCGGGGAAACTTGAGCTACTGAGTTTCATTGAAACCTCAAACCTGGCAGATCTTATCAAATCAAAATAACCCTTCAATAAACAATACCAATCAAACTCTAATTGAATTTCAACAAAAATATAATCAAATTATAAATCAATCTCCAAATTTATTAACAACTGGAAATGGAAATCGAAAGAAGAATGAAAAAACAAGAACCCAGCTTTCCCAGCAAAGCTAGGTTCTGTTGAAACCCAGCCTTGGCTGGTCGACGAACCCAGCCTTGCTGGGTTCGTCGAAACCTAGATCTGCTGGGTTCCGATGAACCCAACCTTGGCTGGTCGATGAACCCAGCAAGGCTAGGTTTCCACCAAACCCAACCTTCCATCGAACCTAGCCTATCCCAGGGCAAGAAAGAAAGAAAGAAAGAGAAAGAAAGAAGGGGAAGAAGAGGGTGAGGGTGAGGGTGAGGGTGAGGGTGAGGGTAATAAGGTAATTTTATATGTTTTTATTAAAATATGTATATTAATTTATGTGGCATTTTTATTTATTTATATAACATAATTATAATATATATTATTGCTACATCATCAAGAAAATTAAAAAACAATGCCACATAAAATTATTTAACTGCCACATCATACTTAACTGGTGGAGGGATCAAAATTGTGCAATTTTTAGAGTCAAGGGATCAAAAAAATGCAAAAAATTGTTAAAGAACCAAAAATGTGCATTTTGTAAAGTTGAGGGACTAAATTTAGCATTTAACCTAAAAAATGTTAAGTTTATTTTGGTTTAAAGTAATTTAACTTTAGTATTAAGCTCAAATTAAGAATAAATAATGAATATGTGACCTATTAATATAAATCAAATACCTAACCTTAGTTGGATTCAATATTTTTTTTTTATTTTTTAAATATTTTGCATGGAACAAATTCCCCACAAAAGCCGGCAAAGCAGGAAAATTTTCCCACTAAATTTCGTGTGAAAATTGCTCACCACCCCCCCCCCCCCAAAAAAAAAAAAAAATCTCTGCCACCCCTGTGGCAAAAATCTCCACAAGGATTGATGAAAATTGCACCGCTAAAATTAAATTCAAAAACTTCATCTGAACTCCAACAAAGTCAATATACAATACCATGGTTCCCAGAAATGCAACATATTCAAATCCACCATCCGAATTTAAATGAGTCAGGCTGTCAGCGAGGAAAATTCCCATGAGACCAAGACTTTTGTAGAAATTTTGAAGGCTACAACTTGGACTCTTCAAAGCCATAAATTAATGACGTAATGGTATGCTTCATGTACATAGATATACATGTATCACAGGTAAAAATTTAACTGAGTTGATTTTTATTAATTACAAATTTTTAAGTTGTGATTAAGACGGATAGCTATATCACAAAATCCTAATTAAAATGATTGTTGTTAAAATAGGGAAATAAAGTTTGGGATTACTTGTCGAGTTTGATAATTACCATCATAACCATGATTAAGAAGGTTTAGACAAAATTTCTTGATGATGTGAAACCAAAAGAGTTACTTCCTGGAGACAACACTACTCAAGTATTCTCCCAAAGTCTCTTTTACCATTTGTTTGGTAAACGTTGATCAATTCGGCAGCTGTTATATGTAGATGGCCAAGGCACACACTTCTGGCTTGAATTGGAATAAACATCCAGCTTTCCAACTTACTTTCCTAAAGAGAAATGTTGGCTTTTGAGGCTTTATATAACGAAGATAATGATTAATACGTACGTTCTCCTATGATGGCAATTCTCTTTTTGTTTGACTAGGATATAGTAATAACTACTAAGAGAAGGGGAAAATGAATAGAAATATGCAGCATCTCCTCAACTGACATTGGTCGAAGGGAAAATTGTTGGAGACTTGGAGCATAAACAACCTCGACTTGACATTGGCAAATCCTTTTGTTGGTCGTCGTCTTCTTCACTGTGTAGTTTAGCTAATGCAATTAAACAGTTCATCGGCTTTTGCTTGTTATATCCTCTCCTTGGATATGAAGAAGGAATTTGATGTCTACTTTTCTTTTCAATTTAGCATGTTGTCAGTTTTTTGGATAATGATATATAAATAATTATTTGTTTAATTTTTATATATAATTAAATGAGTTAATATATATAATATTATAAATTTCAATAAAGTGGAAAGAATAAACTATTAAATAATATATAAAATTATATAAAAAAATTTCCAATAAAATTATATAAAAAAATGTTTACAATAAAAGTTCTCTCTTAATCATTTTCCTATTTCTTTCTCAAAGGAATTGCCATGCAACTATGCAAGCGAAAGAACAAATAATTGTTTAACTTATGTGACTGTGTGTGATTCTACCTTGTTAACACGAGTTAATTTGCTCAAATCCAGGCGTTTAAGTGGTTACATGTCATTAATTTTTCTTTGAGGATTTATGTGAGAAAATGGGAGAAGTCTAGGGGCTTACCGCTGGGTTTTGTCAGAGAAATACAATGACATAAATACCCACCCACCAAGGTTCCAAGACAGCTCTAAATTTTACAGGGGAACACTTGGGAACGAGACCGTGTCAATGATCACGGGCTTAATTTCAGGACGTTTGTCCATTTCCTTCACAATTTGAAGGGTTGTTATCTCAAAAGCAACATATGATTGACTCAATGACCTCATTGTCCATTTGACTTCTCATACAATATTCATGGTATTATGTGCCACTAAATGCATGTGAAGGAGCAGGGGCCTGGGGGATTGACCCATTCTCCTACATGCCACATTTTATTAGGTGAGGGCATGTGATTGCATGCTTACCGCGTAGTGCATATTTAACTCTTCCATTGTTGCCTTGTCTTTTTTAGCGGCTTTACATTCAAACCTAAAGGAAACATGATGTTGAAAAATCAGCACCCTAATTCATTGCTTTCAAAGCCCTACTCATTCAAGCAGCAATGGTAAACACCCAACACTTCAAATATAAACCAAAGAAAGCCGCTCCAGTCAAAAGCTGGTGATTAAAAATAAGCTGTGGCACAGACAGGCAACCAACTGAATGGCTAAACAGATGCAAAATTGTAAAGAGTCTTCCTAAAAATTGCACGGTACCATTAGGTAAATAAACAGAAAAATTATCATTCATCTGGTTCTAGAATATTCATAACCAAGTACACACGAACACATACAGTAACTCTCTAAGGTACGTAAAGAGGATCTAGAAACCTATACTCCCTTTTATACTAAGAACCACTGAAATTATTATCCAAACAAAGCTCAAGCATTCTCAGCTGTTTTACTCCAATACAGATTCCAGGTCCTGAGAACAGTAAAAAGAAGGCGGCAAAGAGCAAATCCATAAATGCATAAACATCTATGCGAAGAGAATTACAACACAATTTAAACAATAAAGCTTTATTTACAAAAATACCAAGCAGGATAGAAGATTGCTCAGAAACATGCATTCCCGACCATTGCAGGGAGGTCATCGAAGCTCCAAAGGTTCATTGCATTTCCATCATCCTGACTTACATCCCCATTGAGAAAGGTATCAATAGAAGCACCCCAGTTACCCTCCATGCATGGCAACTGAAAGTACTTCATCTCGTTGTCAAAAGCCAATAGTTCTTCAGACATGTTATCTGTAGCATTGTCTTCAACAGGCATCAAATTGTCAGCGTTTGACTTCAGCTTCTTCTTTGGGTTAGCATCCTCTGAAAACTCAGACTCATCACTTTCCATGTAAGCAGTAAGAGCAGATAATATTTCAGAAGTGTTTGGAGCCTGTTCTCCCCAGCCAAAGTTTGTACAACCAAAAGAATTACTTCCTTGGTCTGAATCAAAATACAATGGGGAATTATCAGATGGAACAAGGGGTTTGAATCCAACATCTGCATTAGCAGGGAAGGAATCCATGAATGGAAATTGATTCGTTGCTGGTTTCTCTTCTACAAAACCCATGGTATTGTAGCAATCCTGATCTGCTTTGCTCACATAATTAAAACTTTGGCTGAGGTTTGGTTGAACTGGGTTTGGATTTGTCTTGGAAAGGGGTTTCTGAGAGTTTGATTTCAGTGAACACTTAGGAGAAGCATGGTGGGTTTCATCTGGGAAGTTCACTTTGGCTTTCTTGCCACGTATTCTCCTTGCCTCAGCATCATAGGCTCTTGCAGCTTCTTCAGCAGTATTAAAAGTCCCTAGCCAGACCCTGATCCCCTTCCTTGGATCACGAATCTCAGCAGCCCATCTACCCCATGGACGCTGCCTAATTCCCCTGTACTGATTTTTCCTCTTTCTTTTTGCAGATTTCTCAGCTTGTCCACTGAATTCCACAGATTTTACAGTCTTTGAGCCTTCAGCAAATAAAAGAGAAAATTACTTCACAGAGAAGCACAAACCATAAATGAAAAGGAACGGGACATCTACAAGATTCCACATCGCAAATATCCCAAACAACAAGTATCAAGCGAGAGAAAATCTCATAAGTTGAAAAATGATCCAGAAAAAAGGAATCCACTATCATATCCAACCCTTCCTCAACATAAAATCTTAAACAAAAAACTCTCCTCGTTTACCCCGTCCTTTAAAGAACTAGTTTTGGGGAAAAACGAAGAAGGTACCATAAGGAAAATGAAACTTTGGGAGAACGTGGACATATATTACTTATATGGAATTTATCCAATTCGACCTTAATTTGTGAAATTTAATTTCCTCCAAATCATAGTCACTACTTGAGAACCCTGAACCACATGATCATCAAACCAAACCCTCTTTCAGAAATTTAGGATTTTGACTGAAAGGGGTAAAAAGAAAGGAAAACAAATATAGAAATAAAATTAATTGGACATTACTGAGTGAAAAGAAATAAATAAATATTTTTATCTTGATTTTTATGAAATTTGTAGAACACCAAAAGGATTTCCACAGAAAGCCTCTCTTTACAAGGAAGAGTCTATCTGAAGGTGAAAGTAGATTTAATCAAAGCACAATTTTTCACACCTAGACACAGACACCTTATAACCCAGGAAAAAACCCGGATTAGAAAAAATTTTAAAGAACAAAACTTTCAGACCAGTGGCGAAGATTATCCATAACCAACCTACAAATCATCTGATATATGATTTTAAGCGCACCTTATTTATTAGCAGGAAAGAACCAAATTAGAAAAAACATCAAAGACCCAAACTTTTTGTGAAGGAATGGTTAGTAGAAGAAAAATCCTACAGTATATGAAGCCAAAACGAACCCACATATCACATAAGTGGAAATACATAAAATTTTAGAAGAAATTTAAGAGGAAATTAGAAGCATGTACTGGAAATTTCGGAAAATTTACAGAAGAATCATAAACTGATAAACCTAACACCTAAATAACAACCATTGAGGTGGAGCTGTTTATATAACTGCAAAAATTACATTAAAAAAAAAAAAAAAACCCCACACACACAGACAGACGCAGAGAACCCATTTCCAACAAACGATTGCAAGCAAAATAATAAAACCCAGATACATGCTTTATTGGGGGATTGAAGCTGTTGTGTAAAGATAGTATAGATTAACTAGTTTCTGCATTTTATTCTTTGTAGCAGCAACAAATTGCTGTTTGCTTGTGTATAGACAATTATTGGATAAATAAATTCACCTTTTATCCCAAAAAAAAAGAAAAAAAGAAAAAACCCAGATACAAAAACTTAGAAAAATGAAAACCCCCCAAAAAGAAAACATTGAAGTTTAAAAGCTCAATACAGGTTAATTAAAACAAGTAAAAAGAAAGAATCATTACCGCGAGAGGCCCCAGAAGCGGGCTTTGCGTTAGCAGAGAAAGAAAACGGCTTGATATCATCACGAAGACGATCAAAGTCGTCGAAGTCAGATTCCTCATCCTTGTAGTCCTCAAAATCGGCCTCCAAATCATCGTCCAAATTGATCACCGGCTTCGAGTAGCGTTTCCCCGATCCGGGTTTGGACCCGGGTTTATTCTTCAGATGTGGCCATAGGTAGTCAGCAGTAACCCGGTCGGACCGCGCGTTCGGAATGAAGTCGGAGATAATAGCACCTCCACACATGATGGAACGAAGGCGAGGGTGTAAATGAAATGATTAAGAAAGATGCAGGAGGAAATGAAGAGAACTGTGGTTATGTTGAAACGATGATGGCGTGTTTGGTGTTTGTTGAAGAAGTGTCTTACTTGATTTCTGAGATTGGTGTGCGTTTCCATATAAATACTCGTTTACTGCCAACCCGCGGAAACCTACCCGAATGAATTATTGCATCGTCAAACCAAAATATATACTTTGAACAGAATATTAAATCAATGATCGGTTAGTCTAAATAAACCAAATTTAATTTTTTTTAAATAAAATTTTAAATTTAAGTATTATTAAGAAAATACAAATATTAAGAGAGTTTTTTTTTAATAAGATTTGACGTAACTCTATTTCGAGTTAACTGAAACTTAATATAGTTATCAGATACTGGAAGGATAATAAAAAAAATAAAATATTAAAAATTTAATTTAATTTACAAACTTATTAAAATGTTTTTAATAAAATTATTTATTATATTATTTTATTAATAATAATTTATTAATTTTATTATTTAAATTACATTTTTAATAAGCAATAAAAATATAATTTTACTTATAAAATATAAATCTCTTACTATATAGAATTTTTTTATTTTGTTATTAAAATTATAAAATAAAAATTACTAAATGACAAACAACCCTAAATATTAGTAAATCAATCTCTATTCATTTAGTCTAAATTGTAATATTTTTTTTATTATATGTTCATGAAATAATGAAATTTAATTTTTCCTTTCATGCCCTTCAATGTGAGACTAAACGTTTTTTTTTTTTTAATATATAACATAGTTATCCAAGTCTTTGTTTGGAATAAATTTCACATGTACTTGCAGGTCGTTGTATCTATAGCATGCCACAAAACTCAACTTCCACAGGGCTAAGCATGCTTCATTAAAACACTTTGTACCCAAATTGTAATAAAGAAACTCAAACCTGCATTCTCCAATTCATCCATTCTTATCATTTGAGCTGACTCTAATAAGTTTTGAAGAAAAACTACAACGGTGTGTTCCGAAAATTTTCTTGAAAAAAATCCCTTTTTAGGATTTTGTAAGGAAATTTTTAATATTTATCTACTTTAAAATTATAATAAACAAATAATAGAAATAATATTTTTAACATTTATTTTACCTAACAAAAATTTCCAATTCATAAATTTTTTCCCCACATTGTTTTCAAGAAATAAAATTTCTTACATCTATAAAACCTACTGAACAACTTTTCATATACAGTTCCCATGTCAATTTTTTAGCAAACAAAACAAAATTAACAATCTAATAAAATTTTAGTAAAACTTTATTAAAAAATTTTATAATTTTTCATATATTATTTTCTAAATCTTTATATAATACTCTTTCAATAACTTTTTGAATAAAAACCTCCTTTAAAAAAATTTGCCTTTAACCAAAAACACCTGTATGTTTTTACCTAATGCCCTTGATTTGTAGTATGATAAGATTTACTTGGGGGAAATTAGTCAATTACCCACTTTTTTTGTAATATTGTTTGAAGGGGCTCGAGAAAGATTGATGCAATCTTTTTTTAAAAAATAGACTAAAGAAACTTAAAAGTTAAAACTAATGGTTCAACTAAATTGTTACTCACCATAAAATCTTGATTTAAAAGCAAAAGAAATCCACCGCTACTAGCTTTTTTAATTAGAAAAAAAATGATATATCATGCATGAATGAATACTATATAAATATCTTGGCCTAAATTTGAAGAATGGGTGGTTTTACCAGACTTGACTGACGGAAATTTGAGAGTTGAACCACCTAACCCTTCTCGAATTCACGAGCACTGGTACTCCTCTGTAATTGATTATTATTAGTCTATGCTGTACTCCAATTTTCTTACTCCCAGCTGCTCATCTGGACTTTGTCTTTCTCCATTTCTTTCTTTCTTTCTCTCTTCCTTTCTTTTTATAAAAAAAATTAAGGGCCTCTATCACAAATATTTATTGAGCTAGTTTAAAGAATAAAATTCATTTATAAATGACGGTGATAAAGTAGAACATCCTGATTTCATATTTCTTCTTTTTTTTTTTTCAACATGGTACGTTTTTACACAGGGAGAATGGGAACTTGAACTCAAATCATGAACGTGGAACGTGCACCTTTAACCAACTAGTCTTCAACTATGTGTACAGCATGTGCCCATTTGGACTGAGTCCTTATTTCCATGAGTTGAATTAAATCTTCTGCTTCTTAATTCTTCCCTTTTTTTTTTCTTCTTTCAAGTTTCGGCTTTTCATGATTAATCAAAGACAGCAAGGCAAGCTGGAATTATCTATTCTAATAATATCTTTCCTTCTTATATTTACACACAAAAAAAAAAAAGAAAAAAAAAAGAAGAAAGAAACCTCTCCTTCCTATTTCACTTTGGCCATTTCCTTCATACTTCTTTTTAATCAATTATAAGGTGTTTAAATTAATTATTTTGATATAACCAATAATTAATAATAAATATTTAATGATTGATAATTATTATTATTTATAATATAAAATATATAAATTATTTAATTAAGGTCAACAATTACTAACTAATTTTCAACCTTTAAAATAAACGGCTCCTATAAATACACGTTCCTTGAATCTGAACATTTTCAAACCTTCCCTACTTAAACATCTTCATTTTCAAAATTGTTAGGAGAAAACGTTTTATAAATACAATTTACTTATGAAGAAAACTGTTTTACATTTCAAGACATCTAAAAGTTAAATTAAATTAAAAAAAAAAGAAAAAAGAAAAAAAAGAAGGAGTCTAAACCACAGCTCTTGAATACTCCTATGGATATGGTTTTGACTTTTCCTGTTGCTCACATTGAAGGACTGTGGACCTGTGGTGTCCAAATATAAATGCAAAATTAAATCGATCATCCATTTATATTGAAAAAAAAAATTATGGTTTAGATTACAAATTATAGTATTATTAAATAAAAAATAATTTTTAATATAAAAAATATATTTTAATTGCACCTAGGCCTAGAGGCCCACTAGCATTAGCCAGCTTGCTAGGTGCATTCCCCCTCTCCTGGGCGGGTTTCGAACCCGCCCCGTGTCAAAATGTTCAAAAAAATATATATATATTTTTTAATTTTATAATTTAAATTATTCAATATTTTTTTAAATAAGTCGACGATCTAAATAACTTAGTAGTTATTTTTATTCACTAAAAGTAAAAAATTTTAAATTCGAATCGCATAATATACAGATAAGATAAGAAATGAAAAATAATTATTTTTTATTATGTAATTAAAATAAATAACATATATATATTTTAAAATAAAAAACAAGAAACTCAATCAACGAGATCAAATATTTTTGACACGTGTATAACATTTCAATTTGGATTATAACGGGTCGTATAAACGTGACAAATAAAACCTCTGTGATATCTTCTTATCCTCTTCTTTTTCCCAAAAGTGCTATTCAAATCCACTTTAATTTTTTTTATTAATTTCAGTATTCAATATATTATATTCATTTTAATTAATTTAGAATAATTGAATTGAATTTTCTAAAATAGGAAATTTTCTTTACACGAATTTTTTTATTTATAAAATTTAATTTCGAAATCTTATTTAATAAAAATTAAACTCATTTAACTTAAATTAATAAATCATTAGTTAAACCCATTTTAATGTTTTAATGTTGACCAGTAAGTACTCATCACTTATAAAAAAATATTCAAAAACTAAAAATTAAAAATATTAACTCTAAACTTTACATGTCAATGAGTTTATGAACTTTTTTTTATGCATTTTTCATCATTATTATTATTATTATTTTAAGAAATAAAGCACTCGGGCATACATTGCTCTTCTTCTAAAGCTTCCTGTAGAAAATACCACGCGATTAAACAACATGTTATTGATGAAAATTTCAAATGGCTAACTAAACCTATAATCTAATTAAATGACATTTCAAAAGCCTTTCTTAAGAACCTCCCTTCCCTTTTACCCTCAATTAAACCACATCTTATTGTTGAAAATTTAAGTTGGAGATGTTCTTAAACTCAAAACTTATAATAAATGGAGAGGAAATTAGGAAAAATAAAAGAAGAGACTGCAGACTCCCATGTGGTCCAATGTTGGTCACATTGCCTGTGGGCAGTAGGTAAATTGCACCTCCTAGGTAGATTGCACCTCCTTCAATAGTTTCATTCTTCCCAAACACAAATAAATACTAACATATTAACTATAATTATTTTTTACTGTTAAAAAAGAAAAGAAAAGAGAAACATATTCATTACTTTGTATCTCATAATAAAATGTAATAAAAAAAAACAAAAAACAGTAAATGAGAAAATAATAGACGCAACTGCAAAAGGGTAAAAGGTAATTTTATAATTAATTTTAATGTTTAGTCTACTAATTATTTATTTATAAGAGTATTAATTATTAATAATACTACTCCTATTTTGATCTAAAAAGTTTATTTTCTTCTACATTAATATAATTTTTTTATATAAAAAATACAAAAAATAGTGTAATTATCCAAATTCGATGAATTAGGCCTTTAGGCTCAATTGTTCGATCCCAAACCTTAAGTGCTTGGGTGGGGTAGTCGGAGTTTCGAGCTCTATCATTGTCGTGAACTCCATCAAAAAACGACTTAATGGCCGCTCGCCTTATTTGAGAGGGTGAAATGTTCCCTCGGTCTGGAGATCAAATCCCTAGTTGCTAACAACTAATTCAAACTAATTACTTAATCATTACCCTTGTTAAAAAAAAAAAATCCAAATTCTGTAACTTTTATTAGTGGAATTTCATATCATGACTATGTGGTGCCACGTGGATTCCACATAATCATAGAAAAATTTTAAATATTAA